CTTTTTTTTTTTTTTTTTTTTTAATCCTCTCTTACCCTAAAACAATCCTTAGGAAAGGTAGTTTACGATTCGACAACAAACAGACGGCCCTGCTGGGGCAGAGGGGCGAAGTCAGGCAGGGTGTGCCATGGACACAGCATGGAACACGCAAGTGGTTGGCAGTGACGACCGCCTCGGGTCCCACACGCTGCTGCCAAGAGGCAGGAGCGGAGGAGGTCAGAGGAAGCCGGCCGAGGTCTGCCCTGGGCTGCTTTGTGTCAGGTCCCTCTACACTCGCGGCACGGGGCAGCAGTGAGCAGGCCAGAGAGTGGGCCGCCCCACACGCGTGGGCTCCTGGGCTCTGGCTGCCGTGTGGGTTCCTGGAGCTGAGCTGTCTGACTGCGGCCGTCCTGCACAGCCGTCCTGCACAGCCACAGGGAGCTTCCCTCTGACTGCCGTATCCGGAGATGGCCTGCGATCGGACGCTCACGCTCAGCCCCTTGTGCCCTGCGCTGTGGGGAGCTCCTCGAGTCACATGAGGCCTTCTCCTTGCACACTCGCACGCAGGGCCAGGCACTTGCTCCAGGCTGCCTCGGAGCCGGATCTGGCCCACCAAGGCCGTTTTTCTAGATTAGAAAGGGAAAGTCTGCCAGGGATAGAATATGTTTATTGAATGTTGGCGTGGGGCTTATTGATACTGCTAGTAAAACCTTTACTGGTACAAGTTAATGCAGGGGCTAGCAGGTGGCGTGGTGGTTAAGGTGCTGGACTCCCACATGGCCGACCGCAGTTTGAGTCCCAGACCTGGCGGCTTGCTTTCTCACTTTTCCTTTCTCTCCCTGATGAGTGCATGTGCCCTGTAACAAATTAAAAAAAAAAAAAATTAGGTAAATCATTTTTAAAAGTTAATGGAAGGTTACTAGAAAACCCATTTCTCCATTTTTCGTGGGCCAAGTTCAGAAAGGATGTTTTTATATGGTTTTTAAAGAAGACACTACCGTCAGCTTCTCTCTCCACATGTGCAGGTGAGAAATGAAAGTTGCCCACAGGTGGGCCCAGGTCTGTGATCTAGTGGCTAAGGGGCCGGTCCCACATGGCCGACTGTGCAGTTAGAATCCTAGGCCTGGTGGCTTGAGAGTCACGCTGGGTGCGCGTG